TAATTATTATATATATTTTTATTTTTTTATTATATGACCGATTCGACTAGTTGACCTAACGGTTGAACCAGTGAACCATTGACCCGGTCCCCTTGCCGGTTTGATGACCGGTCCGATTCTGATAACATTGATTAAAACAACTAAGAGTAAAGGTGCAACTTGGACGGGTTAATCCGATTTCAACCCAAGCCCAACTTGAAAAAATAGGGCTTGGGCTAGGGTTTTTAATAATTGGGTTGGACTCGGGTTAAAAAATCTCAATCCGAATTCAATTTGGGCAGGCCTCGGGTTGAGCCATCGGGTTCACAGGTTGAACCCAAATATTAAAATCAGGCTCAACCCGATTTAATAATTGGGTTCAACCCGAATTAATACTATATACATACAACTTTATCCTAGGATTAATCTCAACTCAAGTCTGCACCTCCCTTAGACCCTCACTCACTCTCAGTCTTTCTCAGTCTCTCAGTCTCAGTCTCAGTCTCACTCTGTGACCTATCTCTCACTCTCAGATCCTTTTCCCCTTTGTCTCTTCCCTCTCTCAGCCTCATATGTCAGAGTCTCAGCCCTCAGCCCTCTCTTAGCCTTCTTCGTTTTCGCTAGAGTCTCAGCCTTCTTCGTCTTCGCCTCTGGTTGTGTTTATTTGTGTTCTGTACGGTTGTGGTTGCATTATCTCTCCCATTGAGTTCTTAATATTATGATTTTTATGTTAAAAATTTGATTGAAATAATCCGAAATCAGCCCGTAAAATAACCCGAAATCATTAACCTGAATTCAACCCGAGCCCGTCCAAATTAAACTCAGGCAGTGCTCGAATTGAGTTTCTCAATCCGAGGTAGAATTAGGGTTAGTATTAAGGTTGAAGATTATGTACTTAAAGTTAGGTTAGGATTGACTGTTCAACCCGCCCGAGTTACCCCCATACTAGAGAGTACAGGAGCTCGATTGATACAAAAAAAAAATTAACAAAAATCAAAAGCTTAATTAACACAAAAAATATTATAAAGATTACATATATAATTTACTCATTATTCTATTACAAGTTTTAAACTCGTGACCGTAACATCTATCAACGAGATAATTATTGGGGCAACTAACTTCGTTTGAAGATCCACGGTTGAAAACGGAGTAGACATGTAGAGTTATTTGTGTGGGCGATGCTTGGGGGTGTCACACTCACACGGGTGATTTTATCATTGTGTGAGCTACAAATTATAATTATGAATAAATTATTATTTATTTATATAATAAAGTATAATACAATTCAAATGTCAAAAAATAAATAAAATGACTTTTATTTTTTACAGTTGATATATTTTTAAATTTTACTTTAAAGTTAATCTGACGACTAAAATTAATATTCCAAATTTAATAAAAAAAAATAGGCCTATAAGGGCGTATTTGAGATAACTTTTTAAAAGTACTTTCAGAATTTATAACTTTTTATACGTACTTTAAAAAAAAATAAGTAGTATTTGTAACTATTCCACCGCCCCACCACCACAACTATCCCCACCACCACTACCATTACCACCATCACTACCACTGCCGCCACCACACCATCACCTTAGCTTCAACAACCATCACCACTGTCATAACGCCACCACCACTATCACGCCCACTGCCCCGTCACCACCGTCATTATTACCACCATTCCTATCACTCCACCATTACCATCATCACCACCACCTTACCACCACAATACCCCCACCATCGTTGTCACCCCACCGCCACCACCCCATAACTACCCCCCACTACTGTCGTTCACCATCACTATCACTGCTCGCTCCAACTATAATCGATGCTTAAATTCATTTCTCTCTTTTCTATCTTTATAATTTGATTTTGGATGTAAATAAAAATATATTTATTGTCGACAATTTTTTTTTTATTTCTCGCACAGAAAATACCTAGTACATTTATAAAGTACACACTTAATTCTTATTTGACCTCTATTAAAGTTTTAATTGTAACAATAAGGTATTTAAGTTTTAAGTGAGTTCGAATTTAGTGTTTTACATTAAAATTTCAATTTATTTAAGTTTTAAAAAGGTATATTTATCTAATAAAAAAATTATTACATGTAAACTAAAAAATATTACTTTATTTTCATCTAATCTTGAGAAAGAAAAAAAAAGATAACAAACCCGAATTAAAAAAAAAAGATATAGAGTAAGAATTTGAAATATATTGTGAGATAAAAAGAGAAATACGGTTTGTTTTAGAGAGAGATATTTTAAGGATTTAATTAAATTACACCCTATAATTATTACTAATTTTTTTCCCTATAACTAATTATTATTATTGTTATTATTTTATTATTTGAAGTTCTTTTGTGACATTGAAAGAATCCATATAAATGAGAGGAAGGTATTTTAGACTAGGAAACACATGAATCTAACAAGATTGTCAAACGAATTAGTGCATTCAATTTTCATTAGGGCTCGAATCAATTAAACTCCATTCATGTTCATTGTTAATACGAATATATTAATCAAATTTTTAAACGCATCCAAAAATACTGCTCAACTCAATAAAAATATATAAAAAAAATCAAAATACAGTCACTCAAATTTGACTCTAACCTGAGTGATCTCGAAAATAAGAACAACAAATGAACTCCATTAATTAACGTAAAAACTCAATTCACGAGCACAAAGCTAAATAGGTTAAGTGCCCAATAGCTCAATTCTATAAATAAACTCTACAAGCACCTAATTAGAGATGTCAGTGGATTGAAGCGGGGGCGAAGAGTGTAGTCTTCATCCCCGTACCCGCTTAAAAAAGTTCCGTCCATCCCCGGTCCACCCTCGTTAACGGATATAGTTTTCATCTCATCCCCGTCCCGCAAGTAAATTTCTAATCCCCGTCCCCGTCCCCACTTCCCCCGTACCCACCCAAGCCTAAGCCTAAGCCCAAGCCCAAGTAACATAATCCAAAATTTTAAATAAATTTAATATTTTAAATAATTCAACAACATTCTAAATAATCTAACATCTAACACAACATAATATAGATTGCAAAATGTAAAAGCCAAAACAATATAATATTCTATTTAAAGTGTTATTGGACCACAAAAAGAGAAGCGGAACTATTAGAGAGAAAGGAAGAAAAAAAACATAAAATTGAATTAAGAAAATGATAGCACTACACTTGAAGTTTTCTAGAAGAATTTTTGTTATTACAATTCATATTACATCCATAAAGTGTTAAAAAATGAAAAATTAAAATTTCATTAATTCAATAATTCTCCTCATTTCTTAGTTCACTCTAGCAGAGAAACTCATCAACCTCCATTAACAGTATTTCTACCCACGATGAAATGCAAAGCTATCTTACTCTCTCTTATTGTTTTTAGAGTATGATTAATTCAAACTCTTAACATTTTTCAATCAGTGAGCACAAATAGAAAAAAGAACAATCAAGGAAAAAAATTGATACGATTACTACATAGCAATGTCACTTGTTAGTTTGATTATCATATATAGTTACAATAAATATATTTAGTTAGGGCTTGGAAGTATATATATATATATATATAACGGGTAGCGGGGGCGAGGAGGGGGCGGGGCGGGGGTAAGGATAAATCCATCCCCGTACGGGTTTATACGGGTATCTCTTTATACGTCCACCGTCCAATACGTATAATCTATTCCTGGTTCAAACGGAGTGGATTTGGACGAATACTCATTTTCCCTTGGTACACTGTCATCCCTACATCTAATAACTCGCCAAAAAAATAACTTCTAAAAATAAAGTTATTCTCTTAACAACTAATCTTCAAAATCTTTGAAGAAAGTGTGTTTATTTCAGTACTCCTTTTTTTTTTTTTTTTAACTGTTAGGAATGTCCGAATCAACTTACGCACATCTCAATTAATCTTTTCCCTAGTATAATCAATAGGTCATCCACATCAAGATAAATAAAAAATAAATCTCTCATCGTTGTTATCACTTCAACGACTCTTGAGATTTACTCAAAAGTAAATGACAAGTAATAAAATGGAGACAATGACAGCCTCACAAAGTTAGCAATGAAAAAAAATAAAAAATAAAAACATTGAAGAATACAAGTGGCAGCTTCGAATCAAACCAAGAAACTTGTAAATGATGACAGCCCCACATGAATTTTTTTTGTCAAAATCCTTTTATTTTCTTTGTTCTTCCCATTCCTTGAGAGAATACTGAACTGGCCAAATCAAATTGCACAAAGATTCATTCATGCCACAGTGAATATTTCCATCATAGGAATTATAAACCACATAAATGTTTACCTCTCTTATTGAACAAAGTTATAAAGAGTATGAATCCAGAAAGATAGAAAAAAGAAACAAGAAAACGAAGAAGAAAATAAGGTAATACCAATGTGGTGTTTATTGCCAATGAGATCATAAGAAACTCTCTTCATTCCCTCCTGGCAACCAATCGAATATAACGAAATATGTAACATTACACCAGAGAATTATATTCACTGCCCCTGATTCGACTATTACAAGTCGTATATACTACCCAGAATGAGCACAACAGAGGGTCACTTGAACGTTGGTTGAAACGGGTTCAATATTCTTCTGGTCCCAAGCCAAGTTACTGAAGAGTTTGAGACTGATCAGCCTTACCACAATGGGAGTTCACAAAAGATGAAGTATCGGTTCAACCAAAATCTTATCTAGCTTGAAAGGTGCAGACTTTTTCCCCAACTCCGGCTATGGTTCATCAGAATCTGCAAGCGGTGGGTGCCTTATCTGATAAGGTCATCACAGCAAGACCACATCATGTAAACCCATGCGAAGAATTTGTTTTTATGTCACCAGTCAGCTGAGGGAAAGTATTGTCACACCGCTCATACACAATGCATTGTTGATGCAAGCCAACAGAATATGCACCAAGAACCACCAGTGGATGTAACAACCCAAGCACTCATTTTTCCGGAACATATGTTAACCAGCACCGCTACAAGTCACAATCTCACAAGTCAAGTTGCAATTTTAACATCTCACCAATTTAGGGGCCTGGAACTTGACTCCCCTCCTTTCCCTCGGGCAGAATCTGATATTGGCTAAACATGTTGCTGGTATCGGCATTACACACACCATCCCCACCTTCTTCTACCATGGAAGCCACAGTATCTATACAAGACTCGGGAAACCTCATCCCAACACGGGCACGTCTGGAAGATCTTGATGCTTGTGGACCGCCTCCTTTACTCCGTCGTCTCTCATTAATGGTTAAGAATCCATTTGCAAGAGCTTCCAGTGCCTTTGTGGTTGGCAACCGGTTTCTTGTGCTCTGCCTCCGGGAGTTCATGTTAAGCTGCTGCTGGGAACTGGCTGCATTCAAAGCAGTTTTCAGTGCACATGGATCATCTGGCTCCCTACTCGTGTTTTGATCCTGCCCTTCTGTTGATCCCGCTATAAAGACGCCACTTTCAAAATCCGGTGGAACTTGAGGTATGTTCAAATCTATCAAGGTGCGAGGTTGGTGTTTCTCATTAGGATGTTCAGCATCATGACAATTGCCGGTGGGAGAACCTTCAGTGCTCTGAACGGGGCTGGCCTTTGATGAACTGGTAGATGATAGCTTATCCTGAGATAAGCACACCTGAGGGAAAATGTCCTCCGTTGAATTAGGATTGTCTGTACGGCAACTACACATCTCTTTATCCAATATGGAAGTCACCGGAACTGTGTCATGGCTTGTCTCTGCTTGCCTACAAGTATTTAATCTGCGACGCCGTTTCGCCATAGGGGCTGAAAAATCTAAGTTGTCTTGTTTCAGTCTCCTGCTCAATTGGCACTTTATAGCCTTTTTAGGCTGCTTTTCTGCACACAATTTGTTGTGATTCTTGGAATTATTCAAAGGTGCATTCATGGAATCCGAACCATTACTAGCAATTTTCAGCTTTAAAGCACTACCTTCCAGATCTTTCCGGTCCAAATACATTAGCCTTTCAGATAAAGTCTTTGTTGGTATGTCATTCTTTGTCTCTTCTTGATCCAGTAACATAGCATCAGCAGTGTCTGACACATCAGTTGACACGTCAGAAGCATCCTCCTCACTATCTTCAAAATGACTTCCAGAGGTCAACTTATTCGAAAATTCAAATGGCAAAGTTCTTAGCTCCCTCACCTTGAATGGTTTTCCAGCCAGACTGGTATCTACAACTGTAAACTTCATCGCATCTGTACTACGACTTGGAGTTCGAGGCTGAAGATAAGAATGACGACGCCGTTCAGGCAAATCATCTTGTTGCAGTTTTGTTTCATTTATCCACTCATATTCTCCACTGTTCCTGCCTTCATCTTCAAAATCAAGCTCCAGAATCCCTGGTTCTGAAGCAACTTTACTCAAGACATCAGTAGTAGAATCAAAATAGTCTTTTCCTTTCACTAGTCTTCGTCTTGAGAACTTCTTGACACCAGGCATAAGGAATACCAATGAATGCTTAGAAGCAGCAGCATAACCCTGATCCTTAGGCTGCTCCGAGTGCCACCCTCTTGCCAGCAAACGGGGCCAAACGGCCTCCCAGAATAAATCGTTAGATCGAGCTTTGCTCAACCGATAGTCTCCAGTTAGAAACTTGATAATTTCGCTGGGCGAAAGGGCGGAGCATGCTTTGCCTGTTGGTATCTCTGGACGCAAGGGTATGGTTTGATTTGACTTCAAAGGCTCCAAGGCAATGCCTGTAAGATCTTGCTTACCTTTACCAATTCCCACAGCCTCTACAAGAACTTTCATCCCAACCATAGCCTTTAAAGAGAAGACATATTCGTGTAATGACATTTTCCCCTCTCCAAATGTCTTAGTGACCTGCCAATAGATCAAATGCATAGACAAACAAGGTTTTAAGTTTCTGAGATGATGTAAAAAATAAATTTATACACTAAATATCTAAATCTGGCATAGTCATCATCCATTGTGAAATTTTGCAATGAACAAGAAGACAAGGAATTTTTGAGAAGCTTAAACTACAAGAGCAAAAAGGCAAATGGAAACCGCAGGCAAAACATAAGGGCTTAACAAATGTAAAGACCGGCCAGGACTAGTCTAAGAGATTACCAGTTTTGGAAAACCTTATCTACCAATATCAAATACCATCCCCAGTTATTTAATTTTACCTTTAATATATTGAGGGAGTAGGTCTATTTCCAATCTCGTAGTTGGAGTTATCTGAGCGGTGGCATCGTACCAAAATGTCTCAAAAAGAATTTGAATTGTATCTTGATTCTAACTGGCTAGCAAAATGCGACAATGCATTATTTGAAGATGCCTTGATTAGGAAGACACGGATTAGTACCTAAATTGCACCCTAGCAACAACAAAACTAATTTCTCCATAGGATTAGCAATATGCGTGCCCTTTTGGTGATATTGATGCATCAATGCCAAAGTCAATATAACGTCTTAACCAAATGTGGCACACAATTGATGGGACCAATATCAATCAGCAGGAATCATAATACAACTTCCTTTGCCATTTTGTAGACCGTTTTGTAATTCTTTATTTTTCATGTTTTAGTTTCAAGTAAAGTCATCCTTGCAATGCCTCCAATGATTGCTTGTGCACTTGAAAATAATTCTGCATATGCATAATTCCATTTTGCATTACCGCTTCCCAACTGTAGGGCAAATTGCTTATCTCATTTGTAAAACATCGTAGTGGCCTATCTCTTTGTCCCTCTAAATATTGTCATTATGTTGGCTGCTCTTTCTAGGAGCTTGATCTCTGATTCCATTTTTTGAAAATTTTTTGCTTAATTTCAAGTACCTAAAAAAGATTCAAGCTTTTAATTGGATTTTCATATAAATACTTGGTGGAAGTCTAAGAAGAATGCAGTATCTTCGGTAAATAAGGAGCAAAAGTTCAATTCTCTAAACTATCTGCAGATATTTCAGCCTTAAAAGTAATGACAACTCCCCATGAATTAGAAAAGAACAATGAACAAACCACATCAAACACAATGGAACTGTGTAAATTCGTTGTCTCCACTATGAAAACCTCTAATCAAACAATATGCGAACAAACTTTCCAATCAAACCAGTAGAGGACGAGAGAATTATGGGAGCAGAACTTAGAAACTTCCATATGATAACACAGTTCATCTACACACAAGAGATGGAATATTTAGAAGAAAGCTAATCTATGCAAAAAAAAAAATGGAAAAAGTAATCTTCTGACAGGTAATTAAAAAGGCAATTTTTTAGCTGAGCTTGTGATGTTTTGTGAAAAGTGTGTCCTATCCAAAAAAAAAGTTTGCCAAATGTAAAGGAGTCCAATTACTTTTGACCCTGGTGGCCATTAAACAGACAGTCTCACTTGGGCTCCGAGAGTATTGGAATGGATGCAGACCTAAAGTTTGGCATTTTGGCACAAGGTAACTGGTCTCAAGCTCAAACAAACTTGTGTTATCATGTTTCACAGCTCAAGCACGTTACCTTTAACAAAGAAATGGCCTTAAGTATACATGACTATCACTTAGCAGGGGGGAAAAACGAACATTATGTAAAAGTACTTTACAAAATACCTCAGACACAGCATTTTGGCATTCCTCCGACACATGAGGAAACAAACGAGATAACAATTCCTGTTGCCTCAATCCAGTAAATATCCTTTGCCCATATGCACACTTTCTGCTTTTCATTTTCAGGCACTCGGACCATCTACGATACTCATTGGACCTATAAAACTTCCCGTAGTAAAATGAGAGTACATCCCCCATCTCCTTACTCTCAATAAATCTCTTCACCTGGACAAAGTTTTTCTCAAAGATATACAAACCAAGAAGGAAACTTGCCCTTTCACTGTCACTCCAGAAATCACCAACAGAGCCAGGAACTAAACAGCAGGCTAGCCCCCTATACTGATGCATTTTATCTTCCAAAGTTAAGTTCGCCAATTCTCCTTTTGCTATCCCAGAATCCAATGTAAGATCCAATGGCTCAACTTTAAACTGTACATCTTCGTCTTTCAAGCGAAACTGGGGCTCTCTGACAATTTCAGAGAGTAAATGTCCATTTTTGCTGGCTGCATCGGTTGAACCACCAAGTGATTGCAGCATTTCATGTTTCATATTCTCAACTTCCTTATTGACCCACATGAGTGGTACTGATAATCCAATCAGAAAGTTAAAGGGAACATAAGCCCTGTTTTCAGCATCTATTGGGTTCTTTGTATATAAAAGATAGTCAGATTCTGTGATTAATGACGGAATTTCAACCTGGAACTGTTCTCCAACACGAGGAAACAACTCTTGTTCTCCAAAGACATCATATCCATCAGAGAAGTCCACAGAGAGTAACTCCTCAGCAGGCATGTCCTCAATGTAATCACCGTTTTGACTAAACCCAGCTGAAGCCATCTCTGCCAAAAAGTAACAAAGAGAGTTTTTAGCTTTTGCAGACATCATCAATCTATGGCACAGCACAAGTAACAACAATTGTAGAAGCGAAAAAAATTGAAATAACTAAAAATCAAACTTTAGAGAGAATTTAATAGATTACTTGTATCTCAGAGTCTAAGAAAGAAATGAATTGCATACGCATGGAAATGTTGGGCCATTTTAAGAGGCCAGTGACTTAATATATACCATCAGATGAATCAAACAAATGTTTTACACGTGTAATTAAATAAATAATCATTCAAAAACAGTGCATATGCCACCAAAATAAATGGGTTTTATGTCATTGGCAAGACGAGGTTTGCCTACTGAAGAAACAAACTATAGACAGGTTCTAATCAAAGGACAAGCACAACACCAAAGCTTGCTATATTTAGAATGCGTCAGATGCCTTTAAACACCATGTCTCTTATGATTGCCTGCTACAACAAGTGACTCTTCTCTGCATAGTTTTGCTAAATTAAAATCCACTTAGACAAACCATAAATAAGCCTACCGACAGAGTAGGCCATTTTTCTCAAAAAATTGAGGCCTAGAAGCAACTGAGTTTTCTGTTTTCGATAGCCATTTTAAATAAAGCAGGCACATTGTCATTTTCTATTTCAAATGAAGTAGATTTAAACGAACACAAGATTTCTCACAAGTTTTAGTAAATATTAGAGATTGGATTCAAAGATTATAAGAAAAAAATGTCATCCCTATGTTCAACCGTATTCGGCAAAAGTTGAACAAAAAAAACAAAAATCAATAAAACCAGAAAAAATATAAAACGTATTCTTCCAAATAATATGAATAAAATGCTCCAAACAAACGCATCATACCACTGACAAACATTTACGAGCACTACATATTAGAAAATTAATTATATAGCCAGCCAGCACAATAAGCGTATAAGCGAAGTGTTTTAATTTTAAAACCCATGGCAGAATTATGAAACCCCAGATCCATTTTTTTCAAACTCTAAAGGAACATCAAACCATCTCCCCTCAAAATGAAAACAAGAACTTGAGCATAGAAAACATAAGAATCCAAAAAACGCATTAATCTCAAAACAGCAAACCCAACATAACCACAACCAAACAAACAACATTTTTCAGTTTTCAACTGAACCAAAAGAAGTAAAAATACCAAAATAAAAGATACCCAGAACAAAGATAACAAGAAGCCGTCATTTTGACTAAAAAAATTCCAATGTAATCGCTCAAATTAAACTCTTTTCAAACGCCAACAAACAATTTAAACACACAGAACCCAACATCAATCGTGTTACACGAGCAAAACAACATATATATATATATATATATATATATATATATATATATATATATATATATATATATATAGATATATGTATATCTATGCACAATATATACATGTCAAAGGCAGAAAATTGGCTAACCTTCAAGAAAGCAACAGATCCTTCAGAGCCACGTGAGGAAGTGAAACTGAGACAATGGGTGCGCGAGATTAACAAGAAAATAAACCAAACGTGAACATTAAACAAAGAACTATAAGTGTGTGTGTGTATACGTTCATGTGTATCTACTTAACTATGTGTAGAGAGAGAAAAAGCGAAGAAGCCGTACCTGGTCTAGGAGAGCTGGGTCTTCATGGCGTTACCGAGGTTAAATTCGTAGAGAAGAACCCAAATAGAGGAAAAATGAAGGACTTTCTTTCGCTAGTCGCTGCGTAGAGAGAGAGAGAGAGAGAGAGAGAGAGAAAAGCCGAATAAATATACGAGTTTGAGAGAGAGAGAGACAGAGAGAGAGAGAGACAGAGGGAGGGGTCTGGTCTGGTTAAAGGGCGAATTTGATATCTGTACGCGCAGTGAAGGCACGTAACAGTACTCCGCTCTTGACAAAATGCCACGTCGATTTTCGATACCTTTTACGATATGGCAAGGAGTCAATCCAGTGTGCGCCGGTTAACGGAACTAAAGAATAAAATCTAGCTAGATCATGCCACGTCAATCGAATTGTAAGTAGAGATTTATTTGATCAAATGAAATTACTTCTTTGCCCTCAGTCCCTATTTTTATAATTGGACTGGCACTTCTTGATTGGATTTAGAAAGATATAGTTGACAATGTCGCATTGATGATATATCTGCAACGGTCTGGCTAGGGTGTCATACTAAAATGCCCAAACTAGCCCTCTCTGTTTTTTTTTTCGTCAGGCATTTTCCTCTTATAAAGTAGAGGTTCGGATGTTCATGAATTCGAAACAATTAATATCAGAGCTAATATTCACGTTGAATATAAGATCAAACGCAGTATACATTACGATTTTTTGTAATCGAGCCAAAAAGATCGACTTTGAGGCTGGATTAAGATGATTTGATATTATATATAAATATAGTGTTATTTTATTAAATATTAATAAATGAGTAAAATCATCAAAGAAAAATGACTATCGCCGAATTCATGTCGATAGAACGTCAACTACGAAAATATTGTGAATGTTATGATCCTACATCGATTAAAAATAAGATAAATCCCTGATAGTCAGACCTCAATGAATTGCTAAAATTCGAATTTAGAACATCAGAATTTACAGCTCGTCCCTGTTACCACTTGAACTATCTTTGAAATTGACAAACCCTCTAATTACAGATAAAATGAAATAATTGAAGTAAATATTAACATAATATGTACTCGATATGATCGCTTATTAATCTTACAATTCTAAATATATTGGGCCGAATTCACTTTATACATAAATAAGTTATTGTCTGTGCCTGAAAGCATAGAGTATAAAAAATAATAAACAATAAATATATTTGTATTTATATCCAAAATCAAATCACAAATATAGAGAAAGAGATAAAGAAAATTAAGCATCGATTTGTAGTGGGGGTGAGAGGTGGTGGGTGGTAAGACACGGTGATAGTTGTGGTGGGTAGCAATGACCGTGGTGGTGGTGGTGGTGGCGTCGACGGCAACGGTGATGGTGGTGGTGGCGAAAGCGATGACGACGACGGTGGTGGTGGCGAAAGCGACGGTGGTGATGGCGGCAGCAATGGTGATGGTGGCGATGGCCACAGGGGTGGGGCCGGTGGTGGTGGTAGTGGTGGCGACGACGGCGGTGGTAGAGGCAGTGGTGGGACGGTTTTAAATATATATATATTAAATATTTATGAGAAATAATTTTTAGAAGTATATTAAAAAAGTCACTTCAAACACACCCTTAGAGACCTATTTTTTTTTATTAAATTTAGGGTGTTAATATTAGCCGTTAGATTAACTTTAAAATAAATTTAATCGATCTCAACCACGAATATGAAAAGTCATTTTGTTTATCTTTTGAAATTTGAATTGTAAGCTACTTTATTATATAGACTAGTTATTGTCTGTACCTAAAGACACAGTGTAATAAAAAATGGTAAACAATAAACATATTTGTATTCATATTCAAAATCAAATCAGAAACATAGAGAATAAATAAAAGAATTTTAAGTATCGGTTTGTAGTGGGGTAAGTGGTGGTGGGCGGCAGTGGTGGTGATAGGAGACGGTAATGGTTGTGGCGGGTGGCAATGACTGTGGTGGCAGCAGTAGTAGTGGTGGTGGTGGTGATAGCGACGAGGGCGACGATAATGGTGGTGGCGGCGACAACGTCGGTGGTAGTGGTGGCAGCGATGGTGATGATAGCGAGGCGGTGGTGGTGATAGCGGCAAAGGAGAAGACAGCGACGATGGTGGTGGTGGCGGTAGTAGTGTTGGTGGTGGCGGTGACAGTGGTGGTGGTGGCGGCGGCGGCGGCGACAGTGGCTGCGGCGAAGGTGGCGGCAGTGGTGAGGGTGGTGGCAGCAGCGACGGTTGGGGTGGTGGCGATGGCAACGGTGGCGGTGGCGGTGGCGGTGGCGACGACGGCAATTGTGTATGTGGGGGTGGGGGTGTGGTGGTGGTAAAGATGGTGGTGGTAGATGTAGTGGTGGAGCGATTTCAAAACACTATTATTTTTTTTTAAATAGTTTTGAGAAATAATTTTATAAGTACTTTTAAAAAATCACTCTAAACACACCCTTAGAGACCTATTTTTCCTATTAAATTTAGGGTGTTAATATTAGTCGTTAGATTAATTTTAAAGTAAAATTTAAAGCGATCTCCACCGCGAATAGTAAAAATCATTTTGTTTATCTTTTAAGATTTGAATTATAAACTATTTTATTATATAGATAGTAAAATATCACAAATTTGATAATTTATCTTAGCAAGGTTTTTTTTTTAATCAAATACTCTTATAAAGAGAAGACGATAAGGTTTAAATCCATAACCTTAACGAACACGGGCAGACGGCCGCTAATCATGCTCCTTGAAAAGTTCTAATTTAATACTCGTCTTGAAGTTTGATATCTAATTATTCAAACTTTTCCTTGGTCAACTTGGGTCTTCTAAAGGCTGCACCAATAGAAAATATATGGGTGGTTTTGTAGCTTTCACTAAGCTTAGGAGAAAAAAGTTTTCTACAAAAAAAAACAAACAAATCAAAGAACTTTTTCTACAATAATTTTACAAAATACTTACTAAAATTTTTTATTAAAAAATTAATGGTATGCCATGTATAATTATGGTTTCCAAGCAATATACGTGTATTAAAATCATTTTCTATTATACATGATGTGATAATCTACAAATAGATTTTCGTTCATCATACTTATCAATTAAATTATGTGACATAAATTTCCCGAAGATTTTTCGTGCTCTTCACCCCTTATAATTTTAAACTATATTACCAACAAATAACCCCAAAATTCTAAGAATTTTCTTTGAATAAAAGTTCAAGATTGAAATGTTTTTCGTATAAAGACAAGTAATTAATTATAACTTTTCTTCTCCTCTTATGTGTTCTAAAGTTTCCATTATAATTCCCAAAATGTAATTTCAAAACTAGCCACTCAAAAGGTTCATAAAAGAAAATGTAACGGAAATTACCATGTGCGATCCACATGCAATCCAATGAAG